AACAGGAATCAGTTATGGATGAAGTTTTATAGTCAACATAGATCTCAAATCACGCATGTTCTTAGAAAACCTGCATCATAATGTCACCTTAAGAGTTGCAATTACCTACTAGGGAATAAAGGTAAGAGTGTTCTATTCATTTTTCTTCTGAAAATTTTTAACATACTAACACTATTATAGAAATATCTGAGCGCATGCAACCCTCTGCTAAACCGAATAGAAAAACAAGTATTCTTTTATAAATAAATGATATGGTTTTTAAGTCTCTAATTAGAGTAGCCTAAATAGACAGTTAATTTTGCAAGCTAAATATTGTCAGAAAGAAGGACTATAAATCAACTCTTCTAAAAGTTACTATTTTTATAGCTGCTCTATAAATAGTGACACTATTTGAGTTCTCCTTGGTGTACATTTTGTAAAGAGTTTATCTTAGAAAGGACAAGGGAATGTAACATTGTTTGAAGCTGGGAGCATTATGTTATTTTACTGAAGTCTTTCTTTAAAAAAAAATTGGTATCTGGTTACAACTGGAAACCCTGGTGGTGTAGTGGTTAGGAGCTACAGCTGCTAACCAAAATGTCAGCAGTTCGAATCTGCTAACCAAACGGCCAGCAGTTCGAATCCACTAGGTGCTCCTTGGAAACTCTATGGGGCAGTTCTACTCTGTCCTATAGGGTCGCTATGAGTCGGAATTGACTTGATGGCAACGGGTTTGATTTTTTGGTTGGTTACAACTACATGAACATTTTCAGGCTAAAACTATGTGATCATTATGTGAAAAAGAATTTTAGGGGTTCAATCATCTATTCATCTATGCAGAGGAGAGTCAAACAATTCTCATAGGATACTATGACCTCTGAGACCACTCCCTTGGCTGGACCTTCTAACAGAGGCAGGCAGCCTTCTATTCCAGCACAAGTCCTTGTTATTCAACTGGCAACAGACTAACCGCTCTCTGGGCACTTCTGAGAGAGAACAGTCTCAAGCTAAATGACATCAAACATTTATCAAATCTCAGCTGAGAGAAACAATATTTAGAAAGCATTGCTTGAAAGACATGGACCCCATCCATTCCTCCAAATAATCTAAATAACCTGTTCCCAGTCCGGAATCAAGCTAGGTCATCAGAGAGCAGGCATTTCCAATGCGTCTCTCCTGGCTCACCCTATGCTGAAATATGCTTTTCTGTAATATATTAGCTGTGTTGAAGGACGATATGAGAAACTGCCTTATAAAATCCTTGTAAAATGCTGCTCATACATTATCCTATTTATGAGACCCCTGGAACCAGAAATTCCTATATGATCCTGGTATTGGGGGAAAAAATGTTCTTCTTTTAACCTTAGAAGCAATGTAACAACTCCCTTTCCAACTAGATGGCTAGAAAGCTTAAACCCAAATTTGAGAGCCACTAGTGAGCAAGTAAGTAGGTTATAAGGATATGTATTTTTCTTAACCTTTTTCCTACATCTTTTTTTATGCCCCTACTTTAGTTTTCTTCCTTCTTTAGTTTAGATTTCAAGCCTATTATCTTTTATTTTACATACCCATGCAGGCCACTGGAAGTCTTTCCTAGATATAAGATGGGATATAAATAAATAATTTCTTGTTAAAAAAATTTCTATCTTTAGTTTAATGCAATCAACCACAAAGGAAAAGAACAATAGATTTGACTCATAGAAATCTAAAACTTCTATATGTCAAAAATACCATAAAAATTTAAAAGAATTTGCAAAACATGAGAAATAATTTGACACAAATAAGATTAATGCTCTTAGTTTATGAATAAGTTATACATATCAATAAGAAGAATACAAAATTCAATAAAAAAATCTGGATGTTGAAATCAATGAATTAGAAAGAACCTAAAAGTAATTTGAATTGCTTTCCTAACACAGACCTCTAGAACTAGAATGGGCCTTTCAGATGGTTCTGTTCAAACCTCTAACATTACAGAAGTCAAGTACCTTGCTCAAGTGTATTAAAGGCTATTATTTTCCTGTCTTTTGATTTCCATAAAGGAAAGGACAATTCTGGCCTGTCCCACCCCTTACTCACTAATCCTCAAAGAAGGAACTGTAAATATGTAATGTGATTAGTAGGAGACTGCTATTCCTTAGGCCACATTCCTAGTGAGTGGGGTTTACATATTATAGGTCACTGCCCAAACAATATGTGGACTCTTGCTCTCTGAGACCTGCCTGTGCTCAGGTACAAGAAGCACATACATCTCCTGTCCCCAAGAGGTAAGTAACCAGTTTCTGCCCACTGCCCTTTCCTCTGCTTTTAAGGCAGAGACTGGGTGGTAAACAAGGCAAGGCTCTCTTGCAGACCCAACTGCCCATACTTCCAGGAGTGAAGGGAGTAGGAAGCCCCCCATTATGCCACATATCTAAGCCTTATTCTCTAATTTAGCTTCTACCTGAAACCTTGTACTGGGGGGAGTTCCTGAGAACTTGCCCAGATCAATAATGTTGATACTTTGCTTCTCACTTGTCAGTCTGTTTGTCCTGTGTAATCTCAAGTGGGAAGGAGGGGTAAGACTCAGTCTCCCCCTATCTGCAGAATGTGGATGTACTGATTGGAATCTTGAGTGTAAAGACAAGAGCTGTCACAGGGGAGCAAAGCACCATGGGAAAGACGGAAGCTTATGGTCTCTGGAGCTGGAACTCCAGGAATAGATGAGGTAGATATTAGATTATTAGGAAAATGTCTTCACAAATTAGGCAGCGCTTCAACACATAGGCTTTTTAGGTACATACAGAAAGAATTATTTTGGCTACCACATTTTGTTTTTTCTTTTTTTTATCTTGCCTCTGCCTGGATCGCTAGCAAGGGATTTAAATTATCCAGAGGTCTGTGTGGTAAGGTCTATGTGGTTAAAGCAGTGCTATTCAAAAATGTAGACTGGCAGCATCAGCAAGGCCCAGGAGTTGCTAGAAATTAAAAGCCAGGGTCTCCATCCCAGACCTACTGAATCAGAACCTCTCGATGGAACCCAGGAACCTACATTTTAATAAGCTTTCCAGGTGATTCTTATGCTTGTTCAAGTTTGGACTGACAATGTACTGGATTTGGAGACTATAATTTTGCTTTTTTTTCTAATAACTAAATATTTTTTGAGAAGCAGTAGATGTACTCATTCTACTGGAGCCAGACTGCCTATATTCAAACCTTAGTTGCACCCCTACTAGCTGTATGATCTTGGACAAGTTGCTTAACTCCTCTGTGCCTCAGTGTCCTTATCTGTAAAATGAGGATAATACTAGTGCCTTCCTCAGAAGGTTTGGTAGGATCAAGTGAGTTGGCCCAGTAATAGTACTTTGAACAATGTCTGGCACATATTGAGTGCTCAATAAATGATAGCGATTATTCTTACCACCTGTCTTGGAAAAAGTACAGCCAGAATGCTCCTTAGAAGCAAGGATGGCAAGACTTCGTCTCATGTACTTTGGACATGTTATCAGGAGGGACCAGTCCCTGGAGAATGACATTATGCTTGGTAAAGTAGAGGGTCAGCAAAGAAGAGGAAGACACTCAACAAGATAGATTGACACAGTGGCTGCAACAATGAGCTCAAGCATAACTATGATTGTGAGGATGGTGCAGGACCAAGCAGTGTTTCATTCTGTTGTAAGCAGGGTTGCTATGAGTCACAACTGACTAGACAGAACCTAACAACACCAATTCTCACCACCATTGTTACCTGCTGGGTGCTGTTCTAAGGACTGTACTTGTATTACATCAGTTACTCAGAAGGTAACTGAGCCCCAGGTGCAAGAAGAACATATCTAGCCCCTTGACTTTATTTTTTAATTGAGGCAAAATTCACATAACATAAAATTTACCATTTTAAAGTCTACAATTCAGTAGCATTTAGTACATTCAAATATTGTGCAACCATGCTATTATTTTGCTTTTGCTTTCTAAATCTGGTGTCTCTGGGGCTAGAATCGAGAAGTGGAAAAATGAAACTTAAAATCAGATTAATTCAACTTTGCAGGTACCAAAGGAGTAGTATCTATTACAAAACAAGATTTCTAAGATATGACAGCCAGAACACATGCTCAGCAGAGGAAGACGTTGGGGGGGAAACAATGTGGGACTTTAATGCCTTTACAGTTTAATTTACAAGGAGAAGTGGATTTAATATTTAGACTTTAATTTCTCTGAGAATCTAATAATTACAGGGAATTCATATTCAAATTGTGAGCATTATTATGTAATTGGAAATGTATTTCGGGGTTATGTTTATGCTGTCATGAGATACATTTAGGACAAGGCAACTGGCCATAATCTGAGACGGAAAATAGAATAAAAAGTGGATTTTCAGCCTTAGGTGCCTCATGGCCCTAACGTCTTCCAAGTGTGAAGTTCAAACTGCCCAATCCCGATCCACAAAGAGCAGTGAACATCCAGAGAGAGGCCTCAGGAAGGCAGGAGCCAGAGCTACACTATTCTGCTGTTTTTCTTCAAAGACGCGGAGCCTCTCCACCTGGTTGCCCATAGACTTGGCTGTTAAACCAAGGAATTAAAGAAAAACAAAAAACCGTAGAACCTTCTGTGCCCCTTTCTACTAGGGAGAGCTGTGGAGTTAATACAGTGATCTTTATTTGGTTTCCTCAAGATATCCTAAGCGAAGAGATGAATTTCTAAGGAGCTTGACCTTCATTAAGCAATTGTTCTCTATGTGGGTTAATGTGTTCATATATGGCACGGTCATGAGGCCTCTTTGTCCTGCCAGTGCCCGACACAGTGGGGCTTGCATTTCTGGTCTCTGGGAAGTTGGTTCTAGCTTGTCCATAATGACCACCCTAAAGGCTTGGCTGTCTTAAATCTGGGGTCAGAGGTAAAAGACCTTACAGTATTCTCAACCTAGCCATTAACAGAGAGCCCTGAATAAAGCAGTCCATTATTGATCCATACTCTCTACAAGTGAAAATCTCATATATTTAACTTGTTGTCCAGAGGTATAAAAATATAAAGACATCTACACCTACCAGCCGGTATAGTTTTTGTCGCGATTTGCACCGAGTGCTGCTTGGGAGATGCCAGCAGGGTAATATTCACGGTGTAATCAGTTGCTGGGTACAGATCTAAACACACAACCGGCGCTTGTTCCCTCGTAGTGAAGTTAAATGATGTTGCATGATAAAAATTATTCAGATACCATCTTTGACCCAGAACTTTAAACTGTCATGAGATTAAAACAAACAAACAAACATGGTATTAAATTTCCTGCTGGTTTGCAGATGTCTAGACTACAAGCAAAATGGACATAAAGCAAGAAAATTTCTTTTATTTTTCCTCAACCATTTGGAATTATTTTTAATACAATAGCAAGCTAAACTGGGGAGAGACTTTACAAAGCTACCTACCTATCCTATTCAACTTCTCCCTCAACCAGGTATAGGACTAGGTTAAAATACATAACTATTACCTCAGGCTTTTTTAAGGAAATCTCTTGATGCATACCCAGGTGAAGAAGATTGCATTGGAGCTACTGGGCAAAACATATTTAATTTCATTCATAAAGAATCCATAGACAATCCATAGAAAAGAGTTCTCAAACCTTATGAGGGCTACCCCAGATTATGTATTCAAAGCAACTGTGCAATGGTATTTCACTTGTTCCTTCCTATAAGAGCTCTGGTAAAAGATGTTTTGGTCCATCATTCACACTGTTAACCCAGTCATACTCTATCCATTGCCAACTCAACCTGAGGGTATAATAGGGATTCAAACTGCTGACCTTTTGGTTTGCCACTATAGCAATGAACCACTATGCCACCAAGGTTTCCTAATAGGGATTTATAGGTGGGAAAATGTGAAGGTCTCAGAAGTAATATAATCAGCCCTTTACGAATCAATGCACTTTAAACCAAAAACCAAATCAAACCCATTGCCGTTGCGTCAATTCCAACTCATAGAGACCTTATAGGACAGAGTAGAACTGCCCTATAGGGTTTCCAGGGAGAAGCTGGTGGATTAGAACTGCCAATCTTTTGGCTAGCAACGAAACACTTAACCACTGCACCACCAGGGCTCCCAATGCACTTTAAAAAAAACCAAACCTGTTACCGTCAAGTCGATTCCGATTCATAGCGACCCTACAAGACAGAGTAGAACTGCCCCATAGGGTTTCCAAGGAGAGCCTGGGGGATTCAAACTGCTGACCTTTTGGTTAGCAGCCATAGTTCTTAACGACTACACCACCACAATGCACTTTAGCTGGTGAGAATTCCCATGTGTTTATCATTCCCTTTGATGTCCATGTCATTGGTTATATTACCTTCTATCCCCCTTCAGTGTTCCACAGGCCCAAGACCTCAACACCTGGTTCATGAAGATTCCTCTTTCCCCCAATTCCTAGCATTATTTTGGAATTAGGCAACTTAAAGGTCCTTATAGATAAGCCGTCCAAAATTTGGCCTCACAGTTGTTGTTTTTTTAGCTCAGAGCTATGAACTCCCTCCAATCCACTTAGCCACTAACATCCATGGCCAAACCCTACCCCACGTCATCATGAGAACTGCTCTACCAAGATCTCACAATCCCCTATTCTTCTAGACTACTTACTCCCACAATGCCTAAGATTTACTTACTCAATATTTTCTACCAATATTCTGACATCCTCACCTCCCCCACCTATCCCAGATACCACTGTCCATCACTTCAACCATTTTCAATTCCAATACCCTCAATGCCCTTGCCCCTACACTCTCAATTCCACCCATTCTAGAAAACTCAAAACACCTGGTCAGTCTGTTTGCCTTCACCACTTCTACATCAGGGCTTCCAACTGGTTGGAATCTCTGCTGAGAATTTGCATTTCTAACAAGTTCCCAGGACGTTATGCTTAAGAATAACCAGTGATTCTTATGTATTATTTCTAATAAGTTCCCGGGAAGTCATACATAAGAATCACCATAATTCTCAGCAGGGGACTTGTTAGAAATGCAAATTTTCAGCAGAGCTTCAAACCAGAACTGGTTCCAAACCCTGTTTTACATTTAGGCCGCTGCCATCTGCTGGAGAAAACCCACAAAACTATGTAGGCTGCATCTCTGCAAAGTCAATCTCCACTCTATATTCCATGTAGTTCTTAGTCTATACAAATATGGACAAAAATTACTTTTTAGTTACAAACTTTGAATCACACTGTATGTGCCATTTGATAACATAGTCCTTTCACTTACCAATATATTAAAAAGTTTTTTCTCTGTCATTAATTTGTTCTATAAACATATCTATAGCTGCTGGACACTTAAATCAGTATTTGCCTAGTATTTGCCAGCCCGAATATTTAGTGTTGGGGATACAATAACAAATAAGATACAGTTCCTAATCTCAAGGAATTCACAGATAAGTATCTAGGCACATATAATACCTAGGGATGAGTCTTAAAATACATGAGGCTGTACAAGCACTGAGAAACACCTGACTCCCTCTTTGGGAATTAAGGAAGGCATCTTCATCTTAATTGTGGAGTGAGGAAGAAATTAGCGTGAATCAGGTGAATTGGGGAGTGAAAGGTCAGGGGAGAAAAAACATTTCAGATAACAAGAACAGCTGGAGGAGGAGGTCATTGAAGGTCTTCTACTAGCGTTAAAGGATGAACAGGAGTTAGCCAGGTGGGATAAGAGAAGGAAGGGAATTGCAGGTAGGAAGATGGCATATGAAAAGACAAAGCAAAAGAGAGAATGAAGCTGGTTAGGGAGTACAGGCAGTCCCCTGACTTACATACAACTCGTACTTACAAACCAGCCCCTGTAAAGCCTATTATATTAAAAATCTGAGTTATATACAATGGGTTGTAATAACAAATGGGCACTACTTTGTGACACGCATCAAAACATTATTATTTTTACTGTATTATTATGTTAAAGATGTTTTAGTGTATCTGGAAGTGTTTCTTTAATGTTTTTTTATGCATAGAAAGATACACTACGTACTACATACTAAGACAAATGTTTGACTGACGTTAGATATGAACAGTATCTAACTGTTCAAACGTACATACAAATTCAACTTAAGGACAGATTTAGGAATGGAACTCATTCATAATCCAGGGACTGCCTGTACAGGGTTTAGAACTAATAGAATAGATTAAAACCAAAAACCTAACCCATTGCCGTCAAGTCAATTCTGACTCATAGTGACCCTATAGGACAGAGTAGAACTGCCCCAGAGGGTTTCCAAGGAGCAGCTGGTGGATTCAAACTGCCAATCTTTTGGCTGGTAGCTGACCTCTTAGCACTGCGCCACCAGGTCCCCAACAGGATAGAACAGGCCTGAGAAATAGATGTTGAAGTCATGAGCATGAAGACAGTTAAGGGAGGCAAGAGATTGGGTGAGATCACCCAAAGAAGGGGTACAGAATGACAAGAGGATGGGCATGGCATAACCTTGAGAGTGATCAACACTTAAAGGAGGGGCAGAGGAAGGGAATCTTTTGGAAGACAGAGAGGTCTCAAACCAACAGGAGAAAAACAAGATACCATTTCAGCAGAAGTGTTAGTCAATAACAGTAAATGCTATCTATCCAGTGTTAAGTACATTTTTCATGTCTGCATAGTGTCCTATGATATGACTGACCTTTAAGTTGTTTCCAGTTTCCCCTATTATAAATAAAACTTCAAAGAACATCTCTACAGCTTAACCTTCCTGTATGTTGTTATTGTTAGATGCCATCAAGTCGGTTCTGACTCATAGTGACCTCACTGTACGATAGAACGGAACTCTGCCTGGTACTGCGCCATCCTTACAATCATTGCTATGCTTGAGCCCACTGTTGCAGACACTGTGTCAATTCATCTCGTTGAGGGTCTTCCTCTTTTTTGTTGACTCTCTACTTTACCAAGCATGATGTCCTTCTCCAGGGTCTGGTCCCTCCTGATAATATGTCCAAAGTAAGTAAGACGAAGTCTTGCCATCCTTGCTTCTAAGGAAGGAGCATTCTGGCTGTACTTCTTCCAAGGCAGATTTGTTCAGTCTTCTGGCAGTCCACAGTCTGTTCAATATTCTTCACCAACATCATAATTCAAAGGCATCAATTCTTCTTTGGTCTTCCTTATTCATTGCCCAGCTTTCACATGCATATGAGGGAATTGAAAATACCTCATGGCTTGAGTCAGGAACACCTTAGTCCTCAAAGTGACACCTTTGCTTTTTAACACTTTAAACCTTCCTGTATATGTCTGGATAATATTAATTATAGTAAATTTCTAGATAGAAATTAACAAGTAACCACTCCAGAACAGTTATACTAATTTAAGTGTCCAGCAGCTATTTTAAGAGTACCATCAAGAATGCTGGGTATTACCAGTTCATTATTCCAAGTTTATAGGAGAATTGTGGCATCTCATGGTTTAATTTATATATTCTTTCTTACTAGTAAGGCATAGCATGTTTTCATGTGTGTTTTGGCAATATGTTATCTGCTCTTTTGCAACCTACTTTTTAATGTTCACTTTTTTCCAATGGATTTTTTAAAACCATTTCACATATTATATAAATTAATCTTTGTACAGTATATATATAATAAATACTTTCTTTTTTATCTTTTTCTTTTTAATTTTGTCTACTAAAGTTTATATGCACTGAAGATTTTTATATTTAAGTAATCAAATCTGTCCATTTTCATTCTTTGCTTTTATTATCAGATAATTATTTACCTATGTTGTGTTTTATATCTTTCCAGGTCTCAATTTTTTTCAGTTAACACTTTAATCATTTATGTAGGGTGTGAGGTAGAAATGATTTGTTTTCTTAACCAAGTAGTTAATCAATTGTTCCAGAACCGTTTACTGAATTAAACTTACTTTCTCTACTAATTTGAAATATCATCTTTATCTTGTATTAAATTATTTGGGCACTTGAATATGTTTCTAGCCCCAGCATTCTTTCTTATGTAGAAATTTGAATATTTCATTTCCCTATTTAAAATTCTTCAGTGGTCCACACAGACATCAAAATAAAATCCAAACCCAAAATGAAAGCATACCAGGCTTTTTATGATCTGTCCACTGCTTAGATTTTTGCTTCATCTCTTTCTACTCTCCACTGATTTCTCTGTTTTCTGAGACAGCCATAATCTCTATTACCCAATATGCTACTCTACTTGCCTGCAGTACCCTCTTCACCCTCACCCTACCTCTTTTATCTGGTTAATTCCTACTCTTTCCTCTATGAGTCAGGACAGTCTTTGCTTCTAGTAAAAAACTGTACCTGGACACACACACACACACAATCTCCCATTCTATTATCTATTTACTTTTTAGCAAAGCTCTCATTATACCATAGTATATTTGCCTGTTTACTTGTATACTTCTATTAGTTTGACTTGGAATTTGCAAGTCCTAATCACCATGTTTTTCTGATAAGTTGTTATTGAATGAATTAATTTTAATTTAATATTTACTGAGACTATTCTCTGCCACATAATATGCAAGGTACTAAAACTAATACAAAAGTAACAATCTCAGCTCCTACCTAAGAAATTTTACTTAAGATTTGTGATATTTAAAAACTCAAATCAAATAAAGGCAATGGCCGTGCAATGAGTTTTAAAAATCTGTGTATTTAATGACAAAATAAGCTATAATTAATAAACACACTAAAATAAAACACAATAAATGTGAAATACTGGAAAGGAAAATTTATAACAAGTCACAAAATATAATGTCTTTCTCCAATATAGTCCCTTACTTGCAGTTACCAACTCTTGAAACAATAATCACAAATTCTCTGGAAGTTCATTTCATTGGTAGTTTTTAAATACTTTGGATCCTCACTTGCAGACCACTCAAATGTTTAAGTGACACAACTCTGAGAGCAAAAGAGGTCTTCTTACTTGGTACACTTGTTCTGATCCAACTTTCATAGAATGCCTCTTCAATTTCAAACAAGTTTCATTAAATATTGAAATATTGAAAGTTCCATCATCTTCTAAGATATCATCTTCTAAAAGAGAAAAGAGAACATATAGGAAAGTTGCACCATCTTAACAAAACACGTCATGGCTAAGCACAGCACAACTGAAACTCTGACATCTTATGAGAGTGGACAGGGTATTTAACTGGAAGAGTGATAAATTTGGCATCAGCAGACTTAACTTCAAGTCCTGGCTCTACAGCTTCTTAGTTGTATGAACTTAGCTGTTACTTAACCCCTCTGGGCCTCACGTGCCTTATTTGCAAAATCAAGATAATGCAGCCTTGCTTTTCCTACATCACAAGACTTCTGAGAGCTCGAAGGAAATATGCATGTTAAAGATCTCTAAAAAGTAACAGAACTGTGATATTTTTAGAAAGCTAACCATATCACTTGGATCACCAAAAAAATCAAACCCATTGTGGTCGAGTCGATTCCGACTCATAGAGACCCTAAAGGGCATAATAGAAATGCCCCATAGGGTTTGCAAGGGGCACCTGGTAGATTTGAACTGCTGACATTTTGGTTAGCAGCTGCAGCCCTTAACCACTACGCCACCAGGGTTTCCGCATCACTTGGATAAACCAAAAAACCAAACCCGTTGCTGTCTAGTCAATTCTGACTCATAGAGTCCCTAAGAAAAATGGCATGAAGGTAAGCAGAAGACAGAAAAGTCTGAGAGCAAGAAAAAGGATGAATAAAAGTCAAAGGTCATGAATTAGAGCTCTCAGGGAGGGTTCCTTCCAACCTAGAACTTGGCCAGGAAGTAGATGACCACAAAAGAGGATGTTCGTTCTCACAGCAGAGAGCATCTCAAGAGCTACTCACAGCTGGGTACTAAGGCAATAAAATAATCACAAAGCAAGTCTGCTTTAACCACTGTACAGAAAAATCATTTCATGCCTCCAACAGTCTAATTCATTCTTTCAGTGTTCTACTTTTTCAATGTAGTCAAAAAGAGGAGGTTTGTTACTAACGAATTAAAGAAGTTACAGAGTCCAGGAGTACCATGGGTAATTCTTAAAGAAAAGCAAATTTACTAATAAAGCCTATATGTTTTCTACCAATGAGAAAAAGTTTAAGTGTCTGTCAGGAAGTCTATTTTATAACTACCTTTTATATGTATTTCCCTGAAGGGAGATTTGTTACCTAAGAAGTAATAAAGATAACAAATTATTTTAGTCAAAATCAGAATTCTCCACAATATTTTAAACATCACTGACATATGCAGAGCAAGGTAATTACCTAGGAGAAAATATTCCTGGCTATAATTGGAAAATGTAAAAATATGATTATGAGAGAGAAGCTGAACACCTATCACAGTACTCTTCTTTATATTCACAACTTTTATTTTAAAGATTTAACAAAAACATAAGAAACAAACATTATCACATGTATGCATATGGTTTTGAGGAGTACCAAATGTACATATTTAATAAATGTATGTGTGTATGAATGCATGTAAGAAACACCAGGTACAGTATATGTCTATATACAAGCAGAACATAAGCAGAAGTACTATCTGCATATTTCCCATCTCAATATGATTCTCACATAATATAGTGATTATAGCCCAAATTCTAGGGAAGATGGCAATGTGAACAAAGGCATCTGGCTCCTACCTCTCACCCCCAATCCTGAGAGAAGTGACTGAGAATAAGTAAAAATAGGTCAAAATTTGCATCTGGGTTGAAAAGAAGGATTGGTAGTCATACATGAGGCAGTAACATGACGACATTTCTGCTCAGCACAGAGTGGAAGAGACCAGGCTGAAGAAAGACACAGAGCTACTGTGAAACCTGCCTTCCAAGGAGAGGAGCATGGACTCAAAGTCTGAAACGAAGGACGTGGAGAAGAACTGGTATCCACAGAGATGGGAGCTGGAAGCAAGCATAGGGCACAGGACAAGTAAGTGAAGAATACTCCATCTGGAATCATTTAGCCCAGCGGTTCCCAGCCCTCGCTGCACATCAGAATCACTCAGACACAGCAGGTCTGAAGTGAAGCTTGAACATCTGTATTACTTTAAAGTTCACCAGACAATTCTGATAGGCAACCAGGGTAAATATCATCTACATATGTGTATATATATATATATATATATATGTGTGTGTGTGTGTGTGTGTGTGTGTATATACACACACACACACACACAGTATATATACAGTGGGTATATATATATATGTATATATATACACACACACAGTATATATACAGTGGGTAAGCTCTTGGCTGCTAACCAAAAGATTGGTGGTTTGAACCCACCATCTGCTCTGTGGGATAAAGACGTGAAAGATGTGGCAGTATGCTTGCATAAAGATGACAGCCTTGGAAACTCTATGGACCAGTTCTACTCTGTTCTATAGGGTCGTTATGAGTCTGAATCGACTCGATGGCAACCGGTTTGGTTTTTGGTTATGTGTGTGAGTATATGAGCCCTGGCAGCATAGTGGTTAAGAGCTCGGATGCTAACCACAAGATCGTCAGTTCAAATCCACAGCCGCTTCTTGGAAACCCTATCGGGCAGTTCCACTCTGTCCTATAAGTTTGCTATGAGTTGGAATTGACTCGACGGCAAAGGGTTTGGGTTTTTATGGTTTATACATATATATATACATATATATATATATAAATATAAACAGGGAAGAGTGGCCAAGGGGAGGCCTAAGGACCTGAAGACTCCACATGCCAGGAAGCCTGGGTTGGCAGTAGGAGAGAGTGGGCTCTTTCCAGCCTTTACAGTCTGTAATACCACAGAGGAGCCGGCAATGCTGAGCAGGTTCAAGAGCAACAGCTTTAATCAAGATAACAAAGTGCTCAGAAACAATGCTCAGGGCAGTGGGCTTTCTCACAGCCTCTCTCCCAAAGCCCAACTTAATGGATTATCCCCCACCACTTGCCACTGAGTTGATTCCAACTCATGGTGACCCCATGTGTGTCAGAGTAGAACTATGCTCCATAGGATTTTCAATAGCTGATTCTTCAGAAGTAGATTGCCAGGCCTTTCTTCCTCTTGGTGGACTCAAACTGGCAATCTTTCAGTTAGCAGCCAACCACTTATCATTTGCACCACCCAGGGATGCCACTGGATCATCTGGCCAGTAGTAAATCCTGCTAGATGAGATCTGAGATAAGTATATTAATATTATACAATAAAAAGTAAGATCAAAAGAAATGACATTCGTTTTAGTTCGAGAGAAATAACAGACCTAGATAAACTTTTACCTTCCAAGGATAAGTAATCTAGGAGCCAAAAAAAAGAACATATGAAATGATTCCACAAAGGAGAGGGAGATAGTGCTTCGGAGGCAAAGAATGAGCATACTTTTGAAAAAAAAAAAAAATTATTGAGAAAAGTAATGGTAAAATTCGGCAGCATCTGTTTTGTACTTTCAATTTTTCATTTTTCAATGAAAAATTTTAAAGACGGATTTAAACAAGAGATAAAGGGTGAGATGATAAGGGACTGCAACAGAAGGAACTGGTTGAAAGAGAGGCAGAAATAAAAACGGAACTAGATGAGATAGAAACGTGCACACACAAAGAAAAATGTATTAGAAACGGTAAAGATCACAAATGTCAGCACAGAGATGCATACAGAGAACACACTTGTTACATACTCACAGAATACAAAGGGGAAAAAAACATGAACAGAAAAAAGAGAAAATGGAAGACCAATGAGAGCAGACAGGAAATCTCACGTCGGGGGGGCAGTTCTGCTCTGTCCTATAGAGTCGCAACGAGTCAGAATCGACTCGACGGCACACAACAACATACCAAACTGGTAGAAAAGCACTGGCAGTAAGCACTGAAACTGTCAAATCTATACCTAAGTTTAAAAAATTGCTATAAACATTGCTACAAATCAATGTAAAAACAAAATCTTTAACGATATAATACATGCTAAGAATAAAAATAAGAAACTGGAAATAAAATGTCATATTAAACCAACAAGTACTAAGGGAAGTGGAAGGGGAAGGACTAAAAGGAAGTAAAGAATGTGAACTTCCTTTCTTATTCAGGGAGAAGCTAAGTATTTCAGTCTTAACACTGGTAATGAGAGAAATACACAACCAAATAGGATTTTTGTTTTTTTAAAATATATAAAGGTGACAACAAAGGACATAGCAAAGTAGCATTAAAAAGAGAAAAAATAAAAGATGACGGAAGAAGGGAAAATCATAGCACAAATAATAATGTAATTGGTTAACTTAACTACTAAAAAATAAAGCTTTTCTCAGAAAGTTTCTCAATATATACCATCTCCTAGCAATGCTATCTAAATAGCATTTAAAGATAATTTAAAAAGTAGGCAAAGATATCAAGAAAGTGAAAAAGATAACCTACAGAATGGGAGAAAATACTTGCAAATCATATCTGATAAGGGTCTGTTATCTAAAAAATAAGAAGACCTACAATTCAACAACAAAAAGACAAACAACCCAATTTCTGTATGAGAAACTAACTTAAAATGTAAACTTTCACTTAAACTACAACAATAAACACAAAAAAACTGGGCAAAGGACTTGAACAGACGTTACTCCAAAGAAAATATTAAAATGGCCAATAAGTACATGAAAAAATGTTCAATGTTATTGGTCATTAGGGAAGTACAATTATATCATGTCTTGAAAGTTAAGAATAAAAAGAACATGTATCAATGCCCAAGGAATTCTGCCAAAGCTCAAATCCTGAAGGGAGAAAAAAGTGTTAAAGGCTTTTATTATCAAACAGAAAATGATGGAAATAGGTTGAATTATGCATTCAACTCAAAAATTTAGAAAGTGAACAATATAACCAACTTAAGGGAAGCAGAGAGAAGAAAATAATAAAGAGAAGAAATCAATGAATTAAAAAAACAATTAAAAAACTCAAGAGCTCATTCTTTGTGGGAAAATTAGTAATAAAATAGACAACTTAAGCTATCCAATCTATTAAAAAAGAGAAAGAAAAGCAAAATTAGAAATCAGAAAAGGGATATAACCTATAGCCCCAGGGGAGTTAAAAACAAATATTCCATATGACATTTGACCAATACATTTAAAATCTGAACCAAACGGACACTTTTTTAGGAAACTATGAATTATAAAAATTGACTCAAGAAAGTGTAGGAAACGTAAAAAAAACCAGTTGCTGTCAACTTGATTCCAACTCATGGGGATCCCAGGTGTCTCAGAGTAAAACTGCGCTCCATAGGGTTTTCAATGGCTGTGATCTTTCAGAAGCAACGCTTTTCTTCCTAGGACCTCTGGGTGGATTTGAAATGCCAGCTTTTCAGTTAGTAGCCGAGTGCTTAACCATTGCACCAGAAAGAAACTGACAAAGTTGTCAAAGAATTATCTCCTCAAAGGGGTGAAACTTAAATGATCTTATGAGCAAATCTGTCCAACTTCAAAGGAAGAGAATAATTCCAAAGTGATAAACACTTTTCCAGAACATAAAAAATATGAAAATATTCCTACTTCATTATAAGAAAACTAGCATAACCCGGATAATGAAGCCAGACAGGATCTAGAGGAAGAGAATGACAAATCTTTACAACTGTGTGTTTAAAAAAAAAAACCCAGGGGGAAAGACAAGACTTGAGCAGCTATTAAGTAAATGTAGAAACATACCTTGTTCCCAGTTGGGATGATTCAATATAAATCTCAATTCTCTCTAGTTTAACTAGCAAATTTAATCCAATTCCATTTAAAATTCCAGACAGAGGAAAGAGGCCCAGGGACATTAAATAGCTTAGCCATGGTCACCCAACTCTTCAATGCAGAGTTAAGATGAAAACCAGGTCTGACTCCAAAGATCATGCTTTTCCCAGTGGAACTTAACTTGAAAAGGTAATCCAATATTAGTAAAAACAGCTAACACTAAACAACCGATTGTCATTCAGGCTGGACAGCAACAAATGAGTTTGAAGTCCTTGGATGATCTTTTAAAAACATCTATCCCTAATAAATTCATACCAGTTTATTACTAACTTTGTAAAAGTTTCTCTAATTAGTTACCATATTAATTTTACAATATCTTTGCCAGTGTATTATTTATTTAGAAAGAAATAATTTTGTTTTATTTATATATAAGTACCCAGAGGCCTAATTTGTGTGATTTCTTAGTTGGTCTTCTATTGTTAACACTAGCTAACTTTTCAATTATTTCTACCAAATCCGTACCTAGTGGCAGTAATACCTGATGGGGTGAGGTACATTTTCTTAAGTGGGACATAAAAAAACTAGTTGAGAACTACCTTAACTCCCCCAAAATAATAAATGACACTAATGGCTTCTCAAGGTTTGCCTAGAAGGTATTTAATTAGTCCTGATACTCCATAACCAGAATTCAGAATTGTTTAAAAAACAAAAACAAAAAACCCAACTTATTGTAACTGTCACAATGTTGTTATAAAAACTCATGTAACAACTATGTGCAATGAAGTTTATTTGTATTTCTTGAAGTTTCCTCCTGTTGACTCCTGTTTTCACCCAATAGTTACCCTTCTGCAACCTGAGGCTACTTTTCCCATCCACTCACCTGCTCTTAACTTGATTTCCCACCCCAATCATCTCTGGGGTCAGCTGCCATCCTGGATGTAAAGCTTCTGGACCAGCTTCCCTGGTTCCTCCTCTCTCATAAGTAAAGGCCAGAAATGACTTTTGAGTTTCCTACCAAAGGTAAGGAGCCCTGGTGGCGCAGTGGTTAAGAACTATGGCTGCTAACCAAAAGGCTTGCTGTCTGAATCCACTAGCTGCGCCTTGAAAACCCTATGGGGCAGTTCTACTCTTTCTGTAGGGTCGCTATGAGTCGGAATCAACTCAACAGCACCTAACAACAACCACCAAAGGTAAGCCAGATAACTACCTTCTATTGCCTTGGAAAATGGAGCATTCCCTGCATTATCAAATAATGAGCTCCTCTTATAAATGCCTTTTTATTACCTTAACGTCAACCACTGGATCCATTTGAGAAACAAGACCTCAATGTGCATTCAGCCTGGCACCAACAGGATAGCAATCTCTGCTACTAGACTTGCTCTGGTTCTGACCCCTGGACCAATTACATCCCATTGGCTTCAGTCTCAGAGAGCAAACACGAACTATTCTGCATGGTTGATTCTGAAGTACATATTCCCACAACTGGTACTTAGCGTTTTCTACAAGGAAATGAGACTTCACCTCCACCTACCAGCTGTTTGGAACCCAATGAAGGCTGGCACAGAGCGTCTGGGAGGGGCAGTGGAAATGCTCACGGTGTAGTTGGTGCCTTGGTACAGGTCTAGGCACACTTCTGGGGTCCTGCTGTCTGTGGTCAAGTTAACTGTCTCCTTATGAACTGATTCCATCGAGTTCAACCGTTGTCCTTTAATGGATATCTTGATAAGAGGAAAAGACAAGTGAACTCACCATGATTCCAGTTAAAACTACTGAGAGAGATCTTTGTGCTACTGGATTCTATTCACCTACTCTTCCATTTTACACCACACTGCTCAACCAGGGAGGATAAATAAGATAAACCTCTGTTATGAGCTGTCTGATAATGAAGTCTGAGCAGCCCAATAATCAATAAACCCTTAAAAGTGGCACAAAATGAGGCATCTCTCTAGGGAGTGTTATTCCGCACACAAATGACCAGCGATCAGTGGAAGCAGTCACAACCTGAGGACCACTTGCTGCATTGTCACCAAAGTCAGCAGATATCTGCGCTGGGGGAGTGAAATGTAAGTGCTTGGAAACAAGCAATAATGATGATGTCAAGTATAAATACATCCCCTACACATATACCCTGTCAAATGACAAATATGTTAAAGACAAAAATGTAAAATAATAAAATGATCCAGACATCTTAAAAATTCTGTTCACTTTCTAAAATGAAAATGGGATTGGAAAGCAACTAGATTGAGACGCTCTTTCGAAAGTCCCTCCGATTTGTATTCTCAGGTGTTACCATTTCTGTCCTAGCAGAAAAAGTATATCACTTTACTTACCACATATACAATCCTGGCATTCATTCTTCCTGGGTTTATTTTCCACCTCATGCAGGTGTTATTAAACACTAATACATCACTAATTTCTGTTATTATTTCTAAAATAGAAAAAGAGAGAGTCCATTCACAAAAAGTATCCATGGGCTTTGGAAAAATCCTAATGGAGACCACTGTGGGAGGGCATGCCTTAGTTTATCTGCACAGCTGATATCTCTGCTGATCACCAATCATGCTGTGATCCAGATAACACATCAGGTGATTCAAGCTATCCCAGGCCAATCACCCAAGTTCTCTTCACCATGAATGAGCTTGGCCCATTACCTGACTTAAGGAAAAGGCAAAATCCAGCTTAACTATGGGAAAGAATTCCAACCTGTGGTTAGTGTGACGGGCCACTGGATGCCAGTGGCGTTCCACTCAGAAGGAACAGAAAGAGGGCCTAGAGCTGAGACCTAAATCTTCCATGCAGTTGCCCAGGTAAGATCAGCATCCCCCTTCCTCACCCCAACCAGCTGATGGAGCATTCTTATTTTCAAGTCATTGTTGTTTCCAAGAGGGGAAACGGCATGTATCACCAGACAGGCCCATTCCTCAGGAACAGCTCTGGGTAAATGAAATAATTTCTCGACAGGGTTACTGAACACATCTGGAACTCCATTAAATAAAGCTATTTAATCCTGATCTATAAGAAAGACAGTGATTTCTTGGGGGCTGTTCCTTTCCTTTTAAATATTGTGCATGTCGAGACCAGTAACCAGTAACAAGTTGATTCTGACTCATGGCAACCCCATGTGTGTCAGAGTAGAACTGTGCTCCATAGGATTTTCGATGGCTGATTTTTCAGAACTAGTTCACCAGTCCTTTCTTCTGAGGTGCCTCTGGGTGGAGTCAAACCTCCAACCTTTTGGTTAGCAGCCAAGCACATTAATCATTTACACTACCCAGGCAGATTCCCCTTATTCTATGTAATGAATTTGGCAACATTAGGGCCTTGGTTCCTTGAGGTAACACAGTCTCTACCGGACCTGTTAACAACCTGGGAAGATGTTTAAATGGGAAAGAGTGCAGATCTAGCTTTTCATTTCTTTAAAATCAAATTCTCTGCAGATAAGTAAGACGACCTCTATTTGCAGATGGCATGATCTTCTATATGGAAAATCCTCAGACATCCACAAAAACACTATCAGAGCTAAGAAACGAGTTCAGTAAGGTTACAGGATACAAAATCAAGCTACAAAAATCAATTGTATTCTATATACCAACAATGAACAATACGAAAATGGAAGTGAGAAAACATTTCCATTTACAATAGCAAAAAGACTAAAATTCCCTGTAGACAGAAGTCACCATACTGTTGTCCCCGGGGAAGGGAATCCCCATTTCACCAAACAGGAATATTCCAAAATTCAAAGCTTTCTCGCTTGAATCCATAGGCACTTCTTATGGATTCTTCCAAATCTCTCAGCCTCACCTGTTCCTTGTTCCAGCTCTACATGGGCTCTGACAACATGACCGTGCCTTGCCTCCTGTTCTAGGGCTTCCCTGCTGCAATACCCATGTCCAAGCATGGAGGTGTAGGGGGGCTTACACCCCATGAGGACAGGAACTAGTGGATAAATCTTCTCCCCTTTCCTTTCCCCTGAAGGGCAGTCCTACGACTACGCAGTTTCTCCAGATTCTCCGGGCACAGTCCACAGGTGGAGCAATCAGCTGCACCAAGTGGAGACCAGTGCAATAAAGCATCCTTATATTGGCTCTCCCTCCTCTGCTTCACTCACCTTAGTCGTCATTCCTGCTTGCTGTGCCTTTACACCGTATTGCATAATAAACGTAAGCACTCTGCTGTTTTCTGGAAAACCCAAGGTGAGACGCTCATCAAGAGAATGGGAAAGATAATTCCCATCTTAGAAAATGAAAATGACTCTTCAGCACAGCTCCTTTCTCTCCCTTCTTTAAATCTCTTCTCAGCCTCCAAGCAGGAAGGGAAGCTTGCCTTGAAGCACGTTAGGCATCTGTAGGACCAACTCATTTCTCCTACCAAAAACCAATGCCATCACATCATACCAAAACCTTTGGGACACAGCAAAGGCAGTCCTCAGAGGACAATTTATAGCAATAGATGCACATATCAAAAAG